CTTCCAGTTCTCCTCGGCAACCTCCTCTTGTAGAATCTCCTGTATCTCAGGTACCCCTCCTTCCGGCCCTTGTCCGCTGTATGCTCGTCTTCTTGCTTCTTTTTTCTAATTTCTGCTAAAATCTGCCTTTTCTGCAGAGACACTCTGTCTGGCGATGTTTCTCGTCCGCCATCTTGATCCTCCCCCTGGGCTAATATTCTTGATTAACAAATTTTGCATTTCGCTAGTAATATTTAGCCTTGCCTGAAAATGAGAAAAATGCAAATTAAACAATGAGATGCTATTAATCCCAATCATGGTGATATTTTATTTTTTTAAAAAAGCAGTTTTGGCAAATGTGAGAGAAAAGGCACTCCCATACCCTGTTGGTGAATGAAATTGGTACATCTTTTTTGAAGGGTAATTTAGTCGCATGTATCAAAATTTCAAATATGTCACTCCTTTAACCTAACAACTTCACTTCTGTGACTAGGTTCAACAGGAAGACATGATTTCTGTAAAGATACACACACATACACAAGCACACATTAAGGACATTTATTCTATATTATATCTAATATACAACCAGTCAATATATGTATAAAATATATGATGTATGTTATGATTATATAATGTATGTATGTTAAGGATATTTACTATAGCATTGTCATATTAAAAAGTTGGAGATAGTCTAAATACCCATCAATAAGGAAAAAGGTGGTCATAGCCATATATTTAAAGCATTTAATTCAGTGATGCACCTTAAGCAAATTATGTTAGAATTCCTACAGTATGTGCTGAGGAGCAGAAGGGAAGCTACATTGGCACTCTACTTTGTTTCCAACAAAATTGTTAGGTATTAAATTTTATTGTTTTTTGTTCTCAGTGCATGAGTTTTCACATATCAGACCCTCAAATTAATCTGAATATTGTCAAGGGATTGCAGATGAGGTGCATATTCCATGCAAACATTTCAGTATTTTGGCTAAAATACTGAAATGGTTGGCCAACTCTTTCTGTAAAGGAGCCAGATAGTAAATATTTTAGGCTTTGCGAATCATAGGATCTCTGTTGTTATAGTCTACAATCTGTCATAGACAATAAGCAACTAGGTGTGACTATGTTATAATAAAAGGTTAACTTAACAAAAACACGCCATGGGCTAGATTTGGCCCATTAGCACTAATTTGATGACCCCTGTGCTAAAACCAAGGCCCTGTGGTTTGTAATAGTAATGCCGTGAATCTTCCTTTTAAGGGCACCCTGCATGCATGCCATTATCCTTCCTTTTAAAAGATGATGCATTTCGGTATGTACCACTCTGAGTTTTCAACTGTGAGTTCATATTATATAATATGCAAATATTCAATTTATAAAATGAGATTATTTTCTACTTTCATCCTCTTTTTTCCCTGTGATTGAATTTAGTATTATAATATCAGTGATTGCTCTGCATTTTGAAAAATATAAAATATCCTAGAGTTGGGTGATTTTTATCAAGGAAGAAATATTGTCCTTGCAACTTTTAGTCTTTCTGTGGTCTTTGTTTATAAGCATGAGCAAAATGATAATCAGCTTTCTAATATCTAGAAGCATTCAAGGGGTCTTATAGTTCTAAAATGTTGTGAGTTTATTGGTCGGGCATTTTAATAAATGCTATATGTATATAACTTTTAAAAACTTTAGAAAGTGTTAAAATATGCTACATAATGATTATATAAGGATTGAAAACTACAGCTACACAAGAGAAATATTAGATCATCCGTGATCGTTCCTCTTAGGTATAATGTCCTTGAAAGAACATTCACGGACTCAAATTTTCATTCCATTCACTCTTAAACTCCTGTAATTTTCACTTTCACCACTCCTCCAAAATAGTTTTTCTCATGTTTACCCCTGAGTTTGACTTTAATAAATCTGGATATAATTTCTTACACCTATCAGCAATATTTGGCCCAATGGAAGCCTCTGTCCTTCATAACACTTTCATCACTTGCCTTTCAGGATATCACTCATTCACCTGGATTTCCCTCCTGCCTTTCTAGTCTGTCCATCTTAGCTTGTTTTGTGTGCTTGTCCTCAGCCCTCACCTTGTAACGTTGAAGATGTCCCAGGGCTCAGTCCTGTACCTTCTTTGTCAGGACACTTACTTCCTTGTATATGATAATGATTTCTATGTCCACGGAAGAGCTCTCTGTTTAATTCCAGACTGATATACCAAACTGCCTATTTGACATTGCTCTTTGGTTAGCTACATGATGTTGCAAACTTATTGGGTCCAAAATAGAGCTACTCATGTTCTTGCTCATACCTGCCCCTTGGGTAGTCACTCCTACTTGAGTTAATGGTAGCTCTTCCAGTTTTTCTGCCAAAAACTTTGGTGTCATCCTAGACACATCCTCTCTCTCTCTCTTTCTCTCATATACCTCATATCCAATCCATCTGTAAATCTAGTCATGTCTACCTTCAAAATATATCCAGAAGCTGTCGCATCTTCCATGTTCCAGGCACCACCTCTGGCTGTCTAGGTGAGAATAAGAGACTACTAATTGGTCTTCTTGGTTTTTTTCTTTTTCCTTTTCTGTTTTTAATCCTTTTTCTAGCTTAACCCAGTGTAGCTATAAAATCCTAAGTCAGGTTAGGTCATTGCTCTACTAAAAACCTCTGAATTGCCTCCCCTTTCAGTGAGAGTGTATGCCACAGTTCTTCCTGATGCCTAAAAGGCAGTACATGATGTGACCTATTGTCCCCCTGACTTAATCTTCTATTTTTCTACCCCTGTTGCTCTGCTGCAGCCGCATGGACCTCTCGCTCTTCCTTACACACTCCAGGCACACCTCTGTACTTGCAGTTCCCTGTGTCTGGAAAGCTTTTCCCTCAGACACCCTCCTGGCTTGCTCCTTCCATTCCTTCAGTTCTTTCCTTAAAGTGGTTTTCTCAGCAAGGCCTTTTGTGGCCATCCTCATATTTCCACCAGCGCACCTCTCCAACACTTAAGCGTTTCATTTCCTGCTTTAGTTTTTCTCCTGTAGCATGCTATACATTTGTCTGTCTGTTCCTTTACTGTTACTGTGTGTTTACTTCACTCACATGAGTAGGATGTTTGCTCACTGCCATCTCCTAGGTGTCTAGGAAGGGGCCCAGCAGGGAGCAAGTGGCTGCTCAGTACATACTTAGTAAATGAGGGGGTGGAGTTTACTGTGTGTGAGTGTGTTGTTTTACACACTAGACTAATTCTCACTTAAAAAAAAAAAGTTTGACCTGGGTTCATTGTGACAATTTTACCTGGCAACCATATGCAATGTTTGGATTCTTTTAGGTCTTTCTAATAAGCTATATTCTCTATATTATCCTTTTTTCATTTAGGAGAAAAGCCCAATACTGTGATTACTCACTATTTATTCTTTTACTGGTAATTATGACAGTTTTCAATGTGCTAAGATAAACCAAAGTAATTGCAAACTATGTTTATATTTTATTAAGAAGAGTAAAACATAAGGGAGGTAAATTTAAGGGACTTAAATAATTCTTTCCAAAGGATGGTGAGCTTTCAGTATATGAAATAAAAAGACAGACTGTGAAAGAGATCTTTGCTAGTCAGACAGAGTGACTTCTGACAGAGCAGCTGTTGATCTTATATATAGGGTTTGGGGAAGAGTGGAGTCAAGGATTGGCAGATGTTCAGAGGGCATAAGTGGCTTGACGTCATGACCTAGCAACATGATTATTTGAGTGACACTGTGGTTGATTGATTGGCCCTGCCAGGCATGTCTATTGTAGTTAGTTCATGTCTGCTTGGCTGTCTCTCAAAAGCAAGAGGCTGACATTGAGTGGATGGTGATTGAGGTCAGTGGTCATTGATGGATTAACTGGATTTAAACTGGTTGTGGATGGCTACTTGTTGTCATGGCTACAGGTGAGTCCTTCTGTACTTCTAAGGCAACTTTCATTGGGTGTTTTCTGTTTAAACTTGCCTTCCTTCAACTATGTTCAAAATGGAACACTTTTTTATTGTGGAATTGTAGACTTTTAAATGTTGAGGCAAGAGGAATTATTTAATAATTGCTCTCAGGATGATCTCCCATTTTTTAGATGCTTAGTCTTATACAGAATAATTATCTAGATAATTTTCTTTTAATACATAATTGTTAGTTTTAGTTATATTTTTGATATTTTTTAGGGGCCCATGCTGTACCCCTAATGTAATCTGCTGTGGGAGAGGAAATTGTTGCCTCTTTATAAATTTATGTAGATATATAATAGTGATATTCTAATGCAGGTATTTACAGCATAAAAAAGTAATTGCAGTTTTCTCCTGGTATGCTATAGTTTACAACAGTTACTGAATTATTTTTTTTCAAACAAACAATATTATTATTTCTGAACTATATATAATGACAAGTATTTTAGAAGTTAGGTATTTTCCCCCAAAGATATTTTCACAATTTCTTCTTACATTCATGTCATATGTGCCTCATTCTATTTTATCAACTTCATTTAAATGAAACATTATCATATTTCAAAGAAATACTGAAAATATAGCAGTAATCAGACTATTATTTTCATGTCAAAGAGTCATTGCTTGTAAGCCATGAGCTCCAGGCTTTTATTGTATCATTCAGGTTTATTTGCTTCCATGTATTTTACACTTTTCCTTTTTAGTTCCTATGGAACATTTAGATGCCATGGGCCTCACTTTGGTACTCACATTCTGTTCTCAGATAGGATAGTTTTCTGCCAGCTGTCGGCCTGGGAAGCCCCTCTTATCTTTTGCCTCTTCTGTGAATCCTTCCTTGTGCTCAGATAGAACTTTTCATAGATAAGCTCTTACATATCACCCTGTATGATAATTGTATGTTTACCTGGAATCTGAAGCAGGGAATATACATTGCCTTGTAGATTGTGAGTATTTCACAGTGGTTTTTTGAATTAATAAATGAGTGAATTGAAATGGGTATTGTCTTTTTATCTCTTTCAGCAGAATTATTAAAAAGTACTGGCTTTTTATGTGTTTTTTAAAGTAGTGGTCCTGCATCGCATATAAAGGAAGTAAAGAAAAATGGAAATGAAAAACGGACCTCAAACAAATCTATGATGACAGCAATGTTTGAAAAGCCCAAATTACTAACTGGTGGTCTGCTTCCAGTGAATGATGACAGCAATTTACGTGAAATAGAACAGGATGAAGGAAGGTAAAACCTCTGAGTTCATAATTTCTTTGTGAAGGAATGTTAGCAGTCATTTCTTTTTCACTGGGAAATAGAGTAGTGTAGTCTGCCAAAGTTAGAGCATACTCAACTATGTCAGTGCTGTTGAACTTGATGAAGATGAGAAGTAACTTGGACAAGGAGCAGTTTCAATACTGGTCACCAGGAACCCTTGCCTGTAGTGGATGAGCTTAGATGACTCCTGAGAGAACTTTACTAGGAAAGACAATGGAGAAATAGGTGATCACTGAAGAAGAAAGCGGGGTTCAAGGGAGGTTTCTTTCTTTTTATGTCTTAAAATAGCAGCTTTTAGAGTATGTTTATTATCTGCTTTGGGAATGATCTAGTGGAGAAGGACCTGTTTGTGAAGTTTAAATTTGTTTCCAGGTGTAAGCATTAGAAAGTTTGATACATTATGTTTTAAAGATTTCTAGCAAACTAATTGTCCTTATAACTTCTATTCATGTATAGTTTTATGGTAAGAGGTTGTTCCTTCAGAGTTGGATCAGAAATGGAATATTCTACTTTGGTTGAATATGCAAATGCTCTCCTAAAATTTAAATGATCATAGATATATATTTTAAAAATTATGTACAATTAATAATAAACATACAAACCCTCATGCCATCCTTAATGGAGTGTAAACATCCCTTGAGGACTGTACATATTACAGTACCATTGCCAGTAGCATCAGTAGTAGATGTGATTTGTTAATACACTCTAAAATATCAGGTGTATCAACTTTATAATTATTAAATTGTAGGGGGAAGGGAAGTATTTTGTTTATGTATAATAGAAGATCAAACTATTGACAATGTATCACAGACCATTACATTTGGATTATAAAGTTCTAAAGTAGAAAATGGATGTTTCCCTGAACCAACAGTGTCCTTGACATTATGTGCTCAGTTAGTGTTTATTGAATGCATGAATGAAGACTTGAATAGATGAAGGAATGCCTGTTGGTGAATTTCTTCAGGAAAAATACATCTTTACTTTATTGAAAGTAGGTTTCCAAAATAGCCTTCGTATAAAGTCTTTTTTATTAATAAAAATATTTGCAAGATTCAGAAATTATTATGTGTGATTATAGCCAGAAATGGAATGATAAATGGATTCATCTACTATCATATCATTTGAAAATAAATATTACTTTCACAACATTAGGTGAAACACCTGCTTTGCAGCAGAATTCTTGAGTTTGAATGCTGGGTCTGTTACTAACCAACTATGTAGACTTTTGAGCAAGTTCCATGGTCTTTCTGTGCCTACTTTCTTCCTTTATAAAATACCTAATGTTTTACATCCCTCACAGAATTGTTGTGAGGCTAAGAATGAGTTTAAGACATGTGCAGTGCTTAGAATTATGCATGGTACTGCATTGTACTCCTGATAGAGCTCACCAATAACATCATTAAAAAGGGGTTTCCCTCATAGAAGGACGTAAGTAACATTTTCCAAATAGGTTTGAATGCCAGGAAAAAGCTTGTTCTTCTTGGGAAGAAGAATGACAACAACAGCGAAAAGTACACCTGGTGTATTTCTTTCTGTTAAATAATGCAAATAACACATTTTTCCTTTTACATTGTCTGTCAGAAAGGTTGATCTAAATTTTACACTTTACATTACCTGTAAAAAAATACCTATAAACATTATGAATATGAGAAGGAAATTGAAAATGCAGATATTTTATCTGAAAAAAATAATAGTTTAAGATATACTTTGTGTTTTACATATTTACTGTTTGCCTGAAAGGAATTTTTTTTTCTAGGCCAGCAATGAAAACATCTAACAAAAAGAACAAGGTATTGCCAAATATCAATTATCGAAATTATGGTTGTTAAAGATACTTGATGAAAGGTAAAGTGAAAAAATAGAGACTCTTGTTGTAAAGATGTTGTAAAAAACAGTAGCCACTGATAAAGGTATCCTTTGAATAAATATCATTTTTTAAAGAAGTACCTGTACTTTTGCTCTTATAAAAACTTATAAAATTAGCACTTCTGTACATTTATATATGCTCTAAATCAGTGGTCCCCAACGTTTTTGGCAGCAGGGGCCGGTTTGATGGAAGACAGTTTTTCCACTGACAGGAGGCAGGGGGCAGTGGACAGGTAGGGGAGGAGGGTGGTGGTGTTGTGGGGCAGGGAGGCTCAGGCTGTGCTTCCTGCTGGTTCCTAACAGGCCACGGACCAGTACCAGGCTGTGGCCCGGGGGTTGGGGACCACAGTTCTAAATAATTTGCAGACATTTTGAAATAGTGTTATTTGTGTTATAGGTCAAACACAAAATACGTTCTATGGGTGATATTGATGACTTAACTGGATCATCTGAAATAGCCCTAGAGGATCATGAGTTGCCTTACTCTGCTTATAAGCAGTTTATGCTGCTCATCAAACAACTTGGAAAGGATTGTAAACGTAAGATCATTGTATAAATATAAGGCCTTGTTAACATGGGGACACATTGCTGAGCACTGCATCATAGAGCCCTTGTGTGTTACAGTGATGTTCGTCTTAGAAATATGCTTTATGTTAAAATAGAATGAGGACTATTGTGTACTGTACACTTTCAGCCAAAGGGCTGTGGTAATTCCACTTCACTTTTTTCAGTGTGAATGGTACCTCCAGTCTTTTTGTTGCTTCTGCTTCTCTTCTATTCATTTAGCCAAGGCCAGGTTACCAGTATCTCCCAGCTGGAATAGTGCAGTCACCTTAGAACTGTTTTCCCTGCTACCCCACCTGCCGAAACTATGGTCTGCTCTGCACCCATAATTATATATTTTGAAGAATTAAGATCTGATCATAGTACTCCTTTGCTTAAAAGCCAGCTACCACTTCTCATTGCTATAAGGTTAAACATCTAAATCTTCTAGTGTTATCCTGCATCTCATTTCATCATTTCATATCTTTTCTGTGTCTCACTGTCTTAGGTGTTTGTTCCTGCAATCAGTAGCTTTAGTGAGATGTAATTGATATGCGGTATCCTGTACTTAAATGAAATGTACAATTTGGCAAGTTTTAACATAGGTTTACACATGTAAAGCCATCACTATAATCAAGATATTACAGTTACCATCCATCATCCACAAAAGGCTCATTATGCCCCTTTAAATTCCTTTATTAAGTAGCTACAAAACTGTTTTCCAAAGTGTTTCTGTCATTCTCCGTTCCTATCAGCAGTATCTGACAGTTCCATTTGCCCTGTATTGTGAAAAACACTATTTTTTTTGCCAATATTTTATGTTTTATTTGTATCCATTCTGAAGAGTTTGTATTGTGTATGTCATTATGGTGTTAATGTGTATTAGTGACCCTATGACTAATAATGTTGAACATCTTCCCATGTGCTTATGTGCCATCTGTACATCTTCTTTGTGAACTGTCTTTTCAAATCTTCTCCGATTTAAAAAGTTGGTTTGTTTTTCTCTTATTTGTTGAGTTTTAGGAGTTCTTTATATATTTTGGATATTATTACTATATTAGCTATTTTTTTGCAAGGACTTTTCCCCAGTGTGTGGCTTGACAATTTGTTCTCATAATAGTGTGGATAGTGTCTTCTGAAGAGCAGAAGTTTTTAGTTTGGATGAAGTCCAACTTATCTGCTTGTTCAATTTTAGGTTTTGATTTTTGTATCATATCTAAGAAATCTTTGCCTAGTACAAGGTGACAAAGACTTTCTCCTATACTTTCTTCTAGACGTTTTGAAGATTTAGATTTACATTTAAACCTAAACATAATGTGTGATCCAGTTTGAGTTCATTTTTGGTTATGGGTATTTGCTTGCCATAGCACCATATGCTGAAAAGGCTGCCCCTCTTCACTGCATTGCCATCGTGCCTTTGTCAAAAATAAGTTTGCTGTATATTTGTGAGTCTGTTTGTGGACTCTCTGTTGTCCTGTACTGACTTACAGATCTCCTCAAATTACAATAGGGTTACATTCTGATGAACCTATCATAAGTTGAAAGTCCATTTACTACCCTGGTAAACCCACTGTAAAGTTGAAAAATCATAAGTCTAAATTGTCATAAATTGAGAAGACTGGGCCAGGCGCAGTGGCTCATGCCTATAATCCTAGCACTCTGGGAGGGCGAGGTGGGAGGATTGCTCAAGGTCAGGAGTTTGAGACCAGCTTGAGCAAGAGCAAGACTCCGTCTCTACTAAAAATAGAAAGATATTAATAGGCCAACTCAAAATATATAGAAAAAATTAGCTGGGCATGGTGGCACATGCTTGTAATCCCAGCTATTCATGAGGCTGAGGCAGCAGGATTGCTTGAGCCCAGGAGTTTGAGGTTGCTGTGAGCTAGGCTGATGCCACGGCACTCTAGCCAATGAGACTGTGTCTCAAAAAAAAAAAAAAATTGAGAGGACTGTCTATGTTTGGCTTTCTTTATGCAGCCTGAACATCCCTAATCCAAAAATCTCAAATCTGAAAGACTAAAATATGAAAGTCCTTGAGTGCCAACCTGATGCCACAAATGGAAAATTCCACACACTACCTCATGTGTGCCAACTTTGTTCTATGCACAAAATTATTGAAAGTATTGTATGAAATTACCTTCAGTCTATGTGTATAAGGTGTTTCTGAAACATATGTGTTTAGATTTGGATTCCATCCCCATGATATCTTACTATGTATATGCAAATATTCCAGATCCAATGAAAACATAAATCCAAAGCACTTCTAGTCCCAACTACTTTGGATAGCAGATTCTCAGCTTGTATTAGTATCAGGCTGCTTTGATTAGATTTATAATTGTCTTGAATTCAGCCCTCTAAGTTATTGGTTTCTTCAGGGTTATTTTGGCTGTTCCAGATCCTTTGCATTTCCACATGGATTTTAGAGCCTTCTTGTCAATTAAACACAAACAAACAAAAGAAAATGTCTGCTGGCCTGATGGGAATTAGAGAGGGAGTGTGTTAGAACATTAAATTAATTTCGGGAGAATTGTGATCGTAACAATAGTGAGTCATTCCACTCCCTAACAGGGTGTATCTCTCCATTTATATAGGTTGTATTTAATTTTCTCAGTGACATTTTGTAGTTTTTAGTGTATGGGATCTGTATTTCATTTTCAATGACATTGTAAGTGATATTTTTAAAATTTTAATTTGGTTACTTATTGATTTTTGAATTGTTGATTCTATTTTCTCTGACCTTTCTAAACTCACTTGTTAGTTCTAATAGCTATTTTGGTGGATTTGATCAGGCTTTCTTGATGATCAGGCTGTCAAGATGTTTCTTTCTCAAACTGCTATCTTACTAAATATAGTAAATATTTTGGATTTAACGCCAAGCGTTCTTTGCTGGAACTAATCAACTCTGCCATTATAGCATGACAGCAGCCATAGACAATACATTAATTACTGAACAGAGCTGTGTTCCAATAAAACTTTACTTACAAAAGCAAGAAGCTGGCCCACAAATTATGGTTTACCACTCCTATTGTGTGATCATGGCTATGAATATAGATAGTGTTACTTCTTCCTTCCAACCTAGAAGTCTTTTATTTCTTGCTCTTGCCTGATGGTACTTGTTAGGATTTTTTTTTTCTGTTTTATTGGTTTCATCTTTGATGCCAAATCAAAGTAGTGAAAGCAAACGTACCTGTGTTGTTCCTGATCTTCTAGGGAAAGCATTCACCTTTTTACCATGAAACGTAGATTAGCTGTAGATTTCTCTGCGATGCTCTTTATCATGCTGAAGACGTTCCCTTGTATTCTTAGTTTGCCCAGAGTTTTTTGTTGGTTGGTTGGTTGGTTTTTTATCAGCAATGAATGTTGAATTTTATCAAATGCCTCCATCTACTGAGATGCTCATATGCTTCCTCTCTTTTGGTTTCTTAATGTGGTGAATAACAGTGATTTTTAATGTTAAACCAAGCCTGCGTTCCTGGGATAAATCCCATTTGTTCATGATGTATTATCCTTTCAATATACTGTCGTATTTGATTTGCTGAAGTTTTGTTGAGGATGTTTTTTTTAAACACTTGGTTTTTTTTAGAACACTTTTAGTTTTACAGAAAAATAGGCAAGAAGATACAGAGATTTTCTGTATCCCTGTCACCCAGTGTATGGGTAGCCTCCTCCATCATCAACATTCCTCACCATGATGGTACAGTTGATAGTTATCAGTGAATCTACATGGGCACACCATAATCACCCAGAGCCCATAGTTTTTGTTGGGGTTCACTCTTTGTGTAGTACATTTTGTGGGTTTTGACAAAACTAGAATGCCATATATCCATTGTTATAGTATCATACAGAGTATTTCACTGCTGTAAAAATCCTCTGTGTTCTGCCTATGTATGCTTTCCTGCCCCACCCCAACCTGTAGCAACCTCTCATCTTCTTACTTTATCCAGAGTGTTGCCTTTGTGAGAATGTCATATGGTTGGAATCAAACAGTAACTAACCTTTTGAGATTGGCTTCTTTCACTTGGTAATATGTTTTTAAGCTTCCTTCACATCTTTTCATTGCTTTACAGCTCATTCCTTCTTAGTGCTGAATAATGTTACATTGTATGGCTGTAACACAGATTATTTATGCATTCACCTACTGGAGGATATCCTTTTTTTTTTTTTTTGAGACAGTCTTACTCTCTTGCCTGGGCTAGAGTGCCATGGTGTCAGCCTGGCTCACAGAAACCTCAAACTCCTGGGCTCAAGGGATCCTCCTGCCTCAGTTTCCTGGGTAGCTGGGACTACAGACACACACAACCGTGCCCAGCTAATTTTTTCTATGTTTAGTTGTTTGGCTAATTTTTTTCTATTTATAGTAGAGACAGGGTCTCGTTCATGCTCAGGCTGGTCTCGAACTCCTGAGCTCAAGCAATCCTCCCGCTCCGGCCTGCCAGAGTGCTAGGATTATAGGCGTGAGCCACCGTGCCTGGCCTGGAGGATCTCTTGGTTGGCCTAAACATGTGTTGAACTTTTACAGCCATGCTGACGAGGGAGTTTTCTTTTTCATAATATCAAGAGTGTTTGTGGCCATTTATTCCTTTGTTTTTTTCTCTGCGTTCCTCCGTGTGATTTTTATATGTATTAGCTGCTTGACATTTTCTCATAGTTCACTGTGAATCTTTTTTTCCTATGGTTATAATATGTGTTTATCTCCATTAAGTGTAGTTTTCTTTTCTGGCATTATAATTTGTACCTGCACAAGTGCAGTTTGTTTTTAAAATATCTTCATGCTGCTATGTATCTTCTCCATCTTTAGTTGGGGATACAATTGAGTTACTTATAAACAGCTTGATCCTTTCTGGTCTTACATTTATGATTTGGGTTAATACCCAACTCCTACAGCAAGACTTTTGTGATCTTTTTTTCTTTTGTATTTCAGCATATTATGTGGGCACAAATGTTTAGGTTATGTATATTTCCCTTGCCCCACCTGAGTCAGAGCTTCAAGCATGTCCATCCTCCAGACGGTGTGCACCGCACTCATTATGTTGTTCAGGGTTCTTTTACCACACTTGGGAGGCTGCTCTTTAGCAGTAAAAGAGGTTACTACTAAGTACCCAAGAGGGAATCTCTACAGATTTCCAGGGTTCTTTCCCTGTGCTGCTCTGTATTCTCCAGTGTTCTGTCCTGTGATCTCTGTGTGCCTTGGTTTTACCAGACTCTAAGATACATCACACCACCTCAGGGAGTCTGATGGACTCTAGTTCAGTTTTTGTTCCCCGTGTCATAGCCTAGAAACTCTGTCAGGGTAGGGAGGTGGGGCAGCCCCATGCTTACTTCATTTGTTTCCTGTCTTCCAGGGATCATGATCTTCATTGCCTGAAGTCTACTGTCATGAAAAACATTGTTTAACATACTGTTAGTTTTGTTGTTGGTTGTTTCTGGTAAAAAGGTAAATCAGTACCTGTTACTCCATCTTGGCTGGATGCAGATTGCAGCAGAGCTTCAGCACATGGTGTAGACTGGCTAGAATACTCTTCTCCATTTTGCTCAACTGCTTCCTTCTCATCCTTCATTTTTCAGCATAGCCATCTCCTCCACAGGGAAATCTTTCCTGGGCCCAGTAGAGATCAAATTCTCTTATGTGATCATAGAACTCTGTTATCTTATAGCATCTATATGAATTATAGTTGTCACTTATTTTCTTTGTTCTTCACTACATTTTAAGCATTAAAGAAGGTCTTGTCTGTTTTATCTGTAGAGCTTAGTGTTATACAATATCTTCCACATTGTAGACATTCAGTTTACATTGGTTTAGTGTATGAACAAGTGAGTGGTAAAATGTGTTGTAGTACTTTATATCCCAAAAGTTCTTATATATTTTATTTCCATCTTGTTTTCTCCATAATTCAGATTCTGTTAGCCTGATGAAGATACAGGATGCATTTCTTTCGCAAGAAAGAATAATAGAAATTAATAAAAATTACTGTGAACGACTTAGACTAAAACTGGAAAAAACAAGAAATAAGGTTGGCATACTACAAAAGGAGCTATCAAAAACAGAAGAAATAAAATCACATTTAGAACATCAAGAAGTTGTATGGGAACATGAACTCTGTACTGCGAGGTGTGACATTCTAGTATTAAAGAAATATTTGTACTGTTTACTTTATACTACAGACATACAGGAGTATTTGTGAAATTGCCAATTTACCTTCTGTGGTTAAATGGGAGAAAACTTTATGGTGTTGTAGGGTGTGAAAATCTTCAGAATAATATAAGTCTTTCCTTGTGCATACTTTTAATAATTAAGTGCATATTCTTTTAAATCATACTTTGAATGACTATATAATACTCCACTATAGGCAAATCTCATTATTGAAGAAATTATATTATGGGGTTTTAAAATTTTTTGTTTTTTAATTAATGATACCAAGCACATGCATCTTTGATACACAATTTTTAATTTATTTTTTTATTTCAGAATATTATAGGGGGGGTAAAAATGTTTTGGTTATATAAATTGTTCTTGTGCCATTTAGGTCAAAGCTATAATATAAGGGTGCCAATCCTGTAGATAGTGTGCATTGTACCCATTACATGTGAGTTTACCCATCCCTCCTTTGTCTATTTTCTAATTACTTACTTTGAAGAAATTCTTCAGTATAGACTTCTTTGGTTAAAGTATAGGAACTTTTTCAAATCAGTCCTTGGTCATTGTTTCTAAATTGTACTCAGGAAAGTTTATAGTTCAACAGAGTATGAAATAACCATTTTTCTCTACCCAGAATGATTTTTTAAACACGTACAGTTTTATTTGACTATGTGTGGCATAGAAAGTAAAATGGAAAGTGATTATTGATTAGTTTATTCAGCACCTCTCTCACACCATATAAAACTGGTTTAAAGTTCAATGTTGAAAGATGTATTATCCTATATTGTTTAGTTAAATATTAGATACTGCCTTCTTCCCAAAGGGATTTATAATTGTTAAAAAAAAAAATACATAATTATGAACAAGACAAGTTGAAAGCATCACCAAACAAAGAAACATAAAAAAATGTGGGGTAGCAAATACTAGACTTTTCAACCCAGTCTTGGATTATACTAATCTATAGATGTAGGTTGTATGAAAGACATTTGAAGGTGCTCTGTTACACAGTCAATTATTATTAGAAATACCTGCAATATTTCATTAAGATAAAAATGTATTTCTAGTGAATGTACAAACTTGTTTATAAACAGTAACTTTTTAAAATTAGTTAACTTGAAATGATCTGTCCTAATTGAGGAGTACTAATGACTGTGTGGGAAAAAAAGGTAGTTTTCAACTTATACCTTTACTGAATAATTTCCATTATCCTTTTCTATAATATTTACCAGAGTTTCTATTATTAGTAATGGAAACTTGACAGTTAACAAAATGTTCTTTCATCACAACCTTTCAAGTATAAGTCATGTAGAAAAGAAGGAAGGGAGAAATTAAAATTATGAGAGCTCAAGGAAAAAACTCAAGAACATAGGAATTTTTTAGGATAATAAACCAACATATGAAGAGGCAGATAATAAAAGGAGCTGTTTTATTTTATAACAAAACCAATTTTAAGATAAGTATATTTAACTGCAGATTTACCTTAAAAGAAGAAGAAGAAAAGAGAAGAAATGCTGAGAGGTTATATGAACAAATGAGGGAAGGTTTAAGAAGAAAAGAAGAAGAATGTAAGAGAGAAGCTGAAGTGAAACAACAACTTGAACTGACTCTGAAAAAGCAAAATGAGGAATTGCAGACATTAAGAACTTATTTGTCTCAGGTAAATTAATCTGTGATTAAAATTTCATATTGTAAGCTTTATATCATCAGTTTCACTTGTAATATCCCTTTGATTGAATACATATTTAGGTTTAAAACAAAACCAAACTGTTACGTCTTCTTAAGAAGGAACTATGACATTTATATTAATAGCTAAAGTGATTTATTGTAAATCTTAGCATCTAATTGATGCTCAGTATATCTTTTCTGCATGAAGGAAGAGAAGGTGAGTTCACTTTAATCTTTAATCACTACCATAAATGTTAATTTAGATATTTTTAGGTTAAAATAGAGACTAAATAGCTTTGGAACTATACTGAAACTAGTTTAATATTCTGTGAAGTCATTTTTTCACAATACTATATCTGCTTGTCTTTATGAACTGTTGCTCTTTGATGAATTTAGTTGTCTTATGTATGACAACTATGAGATTAATTTTGAGGGCTAAAGGTCCTTGTGTTTAAATAAGCCGTTCCCTTTCAACAATTTTATTGAAGGTTATGCTTTTAATTAACCTTTAGACTTTTTACTCCCAATGCTATTTGACCAAATACTTAATGTTCATAGTTTGTACAAAAGCAAAATGACACCGAGAGGCAGCTTTATCGAAAGCAGAGTGGCAGACTATTACAAGATTGTATTCTGACCCATCACCATGGCAGACAAAGGGACATAGAAATGACTCTAAAGAAAATGAATTCTGAGGTGTTTTCTTTAGTTACTTTCAAATATGTCTATGTATGTATTTGTATGTGTATGTATTTCAAACAACCAACTGCATGGATTGTAGAAAGTACAGAGGATTTTGAAGCCCTGTGTGTGTGTACCATTTAGTGGTGGTGGTGGAATTTTTGGCCCGCGGATAAAACATTGTTCTTAATTCGACTCCATTCCTCTGTAACAGTCAAGTAGGAACAGTTACAATGGCCTCATCCAAAGGAGAGGTTTTTAATATATTCCATAGGAATGGGTAATATTTTCATAATCTCCGAGCCCTTGCTCTTAACAATGCATGCTCTAGTTTTTCAAAGTGATTTCATCCTCTTGATACATTAATGGAGAAGGTAGTTTATTACTTCATTGATCGGTATGGAGGAAATGGACAATCTGGTTTAGAGACCATATTTGGGACGTCATTCTCCTCACTTTTGAGAGGAGTAAGAGTTTGCTCCAAACGGTACCCTATTTCAGTACCAAGAGCTTTTGGCTACAATAATATGCTCTAGTATATACCTAGTAATACTTTGTTAGTAAGTGTTTCATTCCCAGTAAAATAGTTCAGTGTATATTTCCCTATTTCACATTTATTACTGCTTCAGACATTACAAAGAAGTAACAAGTTATTGCAATTGGCAATTTGTGATTTTCTAAGAAAAGCTGTATACATTTTTCTGATTTGCCTTTGGTGTTTTCAAACAAAAGGTTTCTTTTGTATTTATGTATTTATACCACAGAAGTAACTGTGACTTGGTGGAAGAGTCCTAGAAGTAGAGTCCTAGGGAAAGTCCTGCAGCTTGCTTACATTTTTAATCTCCCCTTTTCAGAACTGTGATAACTAAATGAGTTCATTAATATATAGAGAAGTGCTTAGTACAGTGCCAAGATATATCATTTATCAATCAGTGTAATTCTTATAACTGACTATACAAATGTTATCAAAGTAGATTATTTATAAAATATTCCCAGGAAAAAGGAACATAAAGTACTTTGGGAAATTTTATCTGTCCAAAGATATGCAGACGTAGGCTCTCATCATGGGGTAGTATAAGGTTAGATACTAGAGTGCAAACCCAATTTTTAAATGTAGTCACATTTATTAATCTTTCATTCTATACTTTTGGGTTTGTTGCAATTCAGGGAAAGGTTTTTCCAATTCTGAGATCCTTAAAAATCCTGTACTGGTTTCTTTGATTCTTTGATATATTCATTGACTTCAAATAAATTTTGATCCTTTGGGAATTTATGCTCTATAAGGTTGGAGGGTTTGATCCAACTTATTTTCCAGTTGGATATCCACTTATTGCAGTCCTTTCATTGTATAAATCAACAGGTTATCCTTTAATTTCAGAGGAAATCATGATAGGTCCTCATACTGAGAGATAGCTAAAAGTTTTCTTGGTTTTCCATAGATTTGTCATAGCCAAGAAAGAGAAAAAGATCTACTTCATAAAAATCGCATGTTGCAGGAACAAATTGCCATGCTGAGAATGGAGAGAGACAAAATTAAAAGTCAGAATGAAGAAATTGAAAAGAAATATCTGAAGGACATGAAAATTACAAAAGAAAAGGATGATGATGCTCAAATTAATATAATACTGAATTTGGAAACGTTAACTAAAACTGGATCTCAGTATGGTGAACAGCTTTGTGTTCTCACAGCTGAGAATGCAATGCTAAAGTGTAAACTGGAGAGTGAAACACAAAACAAGGAAAGACTGAAAGAAGAAGTTGCATCTTACCATTCTAGACTTACTGCCACTTCACATGATCTTGATGAAAGTGAGACATCAAGAAAACACCTAGAACTTGCTTTCCACACAGCAAGAGATGAGTGGTTTCACTTACAAGATAAAATGAATTTTTACATATCGAATCTAAAAGAAAACAATGAGATTCTTTCTGAAAAACTGTCTAAAGCAGAAAGTAAGATCGGTAATCTGGAAAAGGTACTCCATCACACAAGAGAGCTCCTCCAAGAAAAGACGTTTTTAGAAGACGTACAAAGAGACCTAAGGCAAACACAGTGCCAAACGAAGGAAATCGAACAAACGTATCGCAGTGACCAAGGCAAAGTGAATTCATACATTGGCAAGCAGGGATCTCTAGAGCAGAGATTGTCTGAACTACAAAGAGAAAATATGTTGCTTCGACAGCAACCACATGCTGCTGACAACAAAGCTGCCCAGAAAGAGGAGACAGGAACTAATATCCAGGACTCATATCAGGATATTATGAAACAAAGTCAAGCCGAGAGTGACAAGCAAAGTCTGCTTCTAGAAGGAAAACTTCAGGAGCTCGTCAATGAATGTGATCATTTAAAAGAAAGAATGTGTCATTTGGAAAAAGAGTCTGCAGAAAGAAAAGTAAGTGTCCAGAATGGTAAATTGTTTTTCAAACCTCCTGAAAGCAAATTTCAAATAATATTTCATTATGGCTAAATGTTGAATCCAGTTGGATATAAAAATATCTAGATGATAAAAGTATTTGCTGTGTCAGCCTAGAAACATACCTTGTTTCTAGCAAACAGATGTTAGAGCCGAGACATGCCGTTCATTGAGGAAAGACGTCATGTCACCTATGAAATTCTAAGAGATTAAGTTACAAATTGTCAATATAGACTAACATTAATAATGTAGACTTTCACTGCAGAAAATGCAATTTTAACATCTTTGTGTTGCTCTATTTTAATGCCACGATGAAGCAGATGCATGGAAATGTTTGTACCTAAAATGAGTATTATGAAATTAAGATTCAGTGAAGTGGGTTACTCTTGACACTTAAGTCCAGATTTCAGAGATGAACTGAAATGTACTGTTGTATTTTGTAATATTTTGACTTCAGTAATTTTTTATGTTTTAGTTGGCATAATTTTATTTTAATTCATGTCCATTTGACTTATATCTTAAAATATTTCAACCTCAAATGATGTACTATTTATGACCTCTCAATTCTTCAGTGGCAGTTTAGTTTTATTAAATCATAAGATGGCAGTAACATTCAGCAGAAACCAATCAGGTGGGTGGTACGGGAGGGGACATGTAAATTCACAACTGAAGGGTACAATGCACACTATCTCGGTGATGGGCACACTTATAACTTTGACTCAAATTGCACAAAAGCAATTCATGTAACCACAACATTTGTACCCCTGTAATACTCTTGAAATTAAAAAAAAAATCATAATGTACTACAAACATGGTGGATCTTAGCAAAACCATAATTGAATTAATGTTCTCAGTGTTATTTTTTATTTACTTTGTATATTTTTACACATAATTTGCTCATAATTGTCATTTCAAAGCTCAGTGACCACAATTTGGATATAACTTTGTCTAGTACAAAGATAATTGTAGCTATCTGTGATTTGTGAGTTTGGCATTGGATCCCCATTTTCAGACTAATGAGGTGTGGCAGGATTCCCATATAGTGGGAATGGAGTGAGTAGGGGAGAGAGGTAGGAGCTGAAGTCAAGGAGTGGGGGGGAGCCAAGTATCCTAGGACCTTGAAGGCTGTTGGAATTTTACTTTTACTCTGACAGAGGAATCTATGCGAAGGATTTCAGCAGGTGATTGAATATGTGAGGAACTCTGAGGTTGATTTAAGCTTCTGATAAAAAAGAGGGAAAGCGGCCGGGTGCAGTGGCTCATGCCTGTAATCCTAGCACTCTGGGAGGCCAAGGCGGGAAGATTGCTCGAGGTCAGGAGTTCGAAACCAGGCCTGAGCAAGAGCGAGACCCCATCTCTACTATAAATAGAAAGAAATTAATTGGCCAACTAATATATATAGAAAAAATTAGCCGGGCATGGTGGTGCATGCCTGTAGTCCCAGCCACTCGGGAGGCTGAGGCAGAAGGATTGCTTGAACCCAGAAGTTTGAGGTTGCTGTGAGCTAGTCTGATGCCACGGCACTCACTCTAGCCAGGGCAACAAAGCGAGACTCTGTCTCAAAAAAAAAAAAAAAAAAGAGGGAAAGCTTTTTACAATATAGAATCTACCCCCATCAGTCCCTCCCATGTACCCATTTCTTTTTGAAACTTCATTAGATCGTTAAACATTGCAAATTTCTCAGGGTACAAGTGAATAGTGAGCTGAATCTGTTGATTAAGTAACAGAATTCCAATTTTGCAGGAAGCTGACACCTTCTGTGACCTCAACTGAATTCAGTTGTACACAGGAATGTGTACACATGAGGAAAAGAAAGTGAATCGATGCGTGTGGTGATATTTTTCAAAGTATATACATTAAAGTTTGATATTCTTAACATGATTTAATAATAACGTGATTTATAAAATGAGAAACAAAAATATCTTATCAGGTACTTGTGAGTCATCTACAAGAACTGGCTACTACCTTGACAAAACAACCAATGTCAGAGGCCTTTGCAGAGGTTTCGCCATGTCACATTAATTTAGAAGATGAGACGCCGGGTTCAATGAAGATACTACATCAAATCAGAAGTCAAGTATGTATGAAATGTAACATGTCAGCAGTTCATGTATAGTTGGTTAAGTAACATAAAGCGTTTATGAGAGTGATTTCAGTGCACAGCTTTCATTTGTATTTTCATTATAATTAATTTTATTACAGTTGTATATCTTTATAATGCATTTATTTTCTAAACTCTGTCATTCTGCCATTTTTTTTGTTCTAATTACATATGTTTTTCTTATAACATCTTTAGGAAAGTTGAGAATTAAACATCATTGCTCACAGAAGTTGAGAGCCTTTTTTGTTGTTGTTCAACTGTGATCTTTAGTGATATCTTCTTAGGAGAAATGTCTACTCTTTTGCCCATTTTTAAATTGGTTTGTCTTTTTATTTCTAAATTGTAAGTGGTCTTTGTATATCCTAGATATAAGATCTTTATCAATCCATGATTTTCACATATTTTCTCTCAGTGGCTTGTTGCTTTTTCACTTTTACAGAAATTTTAAATTTGTCTGTGGTTGAATGAATCTATGTCTTCTTTTGGTGTTCTGTCTTAGAAATCACTGCCAAATACAGTCACAAAGATTAATGCCTCTGTGTTCTAAGAATTTTATAGTTTTAGCTATTTTATGTACTTCTACTATTTGGAGTTAATTTTTAGAGATGGAAATTGGAGGGAGTCTTCCTTTATTTGGATATAGAATTTTCCCTGTACCAGTTGAAAAGATGATTCTTTTCCCATTTAAGTGGTTTGTTACCCTTTTTGAAAATCAGTTGGTCATAAAGGGGAGGGTTTACTTTGGGATTAACAATTCAGATTGTTGCTTTGTGTCTCTTGTTATCTCAGTACCCAGTCAAATTTTATGAGGACTCTTTTACAATCTGTTGTATATTGCCAGTTGTTTTATGTAAGGGTGTAAAAAGTCAGTGTATCAAATGTCTTTAACTTCATTTTTTGCTTTTTGAAGGAGCTTGTGGCCAGCTTATGCCTTGCTGACTCCACAACATGAGTGGAAGTCAGGCTTACAAAGACAGAATCCATTCTTTCAATTTTCTCCATTCAAACCTTTAATCTATCACCCAGAGGCTCCTTCTTTGCTCCTATTTCCATAAGGTCTTGGTCACTGGCTGTGCTGACTGAGTCTGCTATTTATTGCATTATGTTTTATCAATGCATTATAGTTTAGAGAATCATCTGTAGATTTTTCTACCTAAGAAAGAGAATATCAGGTCTGAGCTTTTCTCATGGAAAATTAAACTCATGTGTCATCTTTCAGTTCACGGTAGCTCATCTTTTGACCTGGTACCTGGATCTTGGGGTGACTTGAAGCTGGAGATTAGAATTACCTAAAGGCATGTTTGTTCACACATCTGGCAGTTGAAGCTCCTTTGTGGCTGGAACTCTAGCTGGGGTGCTCAGCTGGAGCACTTACAGGAGGATTCACCATGCGGCTTGGGCTCCCTCACAATATGGTGGCTGTGAGAACACAGCTTCCCTAGAGAGAGCTGCCAGGTGGAAGCTATGTTACCTGTTCTAACCTAACCTTACAAGTCACACGGCAGTTCCACCATATTATATTGGCTAGAAACCAGTTACTAAAGCCAGTTCATTTTCAGGAGAGGGAATTTCATGGCAGAAATGTCAAGTGGTTTGTAGACATGTTTTAAAACTATCACTTCACTCACTTTTCTGAAATCAAATAATCATTACAGCTAAAGGAAAGTCATTTGTGCCAACTCGGTACCACTGAAATTCTATGAAGTATTTTTGGTTGTGGTGGTTGTTTAGTATGCTTCCGTATTTTGTCTAAAGTACCAAAAGAAATCGCTTCTTGGCCTTTTGGCTAAGATCAAGTGTAAAGTACCGAAAGATTATAATATAGTGCTATTGAATTAACACATTTTTGTTCAAATGAATGGATTTTGTCACATTTATACTGGGAGGTAATTGCTTCATAACCCCAAGAATCATCACTTCTGGGAATGCAATTCAAATTATCCTAAGACATTTGCCATTCAAAAAAAGGCTTATGACATTAGAATGCATATGTCCAGAATTCACTAATCTGTGTCTTATTTTGAAAGTCTTATTCTGGGAGCCATTTATTGACTCAGGCCTAAATAACTCAATAAGATGTCCCTGAGACTTCTCTAGATATTCTGGGGAATAGCCATGGAAGAAAGGGCATGAGACTTTCTCTAACGAGCCATTTCAAGGATGGAAGAATTTAATAAAACATAGAAAAATCTAAGATCAGGTGCAAATGTTGTGTGGCAAAGATGATGAGACTAAAGACTATGTTTTTGTGATTTGTGGTGGTTTTAACTTTGGCCTCAATTTCCTGAACAATTCAAGTGTCTGTATTGCAGGAATCTAGTACAGTATAGATAAAATTTTCTTGCAATTAACTTTATGTCAAAATGTGTTATTAGTTTGTGTGAGGCTATTGTCAGCCTACGCCATTACCAAACTATATTATTTTATTCTTGCAGATCGATCAACTAAAACAAGCACTGGAATTTCCATGTTCAAAATGTCAACATCTAAATACAAAGAATCAAGTTGTTCAACCAGAATCATTATCTATGGAAATAACACGAAAAAAGTATAAGAAACTACAGGAGAATAAAAAGAAGTTGAAGCAAGCAATAGTAGACCTCAGAAATTACATGGAAAGGAATATGATAGACCGTGGTCAAGTTGCCCAGTATAAACGGGAGATTGAAGCAAACGCCAGACAGACTATTGTAGAACAATTAAAAGAAATCAATCTGTTTTTACAGGTTAGTTTATTTACCTGTTATGCACTTTCATTTATTTCACTGCAGATTATATCGTGGATATGTACATTGTATGTGTTTCCTCTACTTCCCCTATAGCAATTTACTTTGTAGATTTCTAGAAGGAAAGCGGCATCTGTTTCTCTCTTTAAATTTTTGTTTCCATCATAATTAGAACTAATATGATCTTTCAGAGTGATGATTCTCTGCCTTAGAGGGTCATTTGATTATTAAGTTCAGTTGTCATAAAACAAGATTATTAGGAAAAGGAAAAAAATCTGATTTAGAAATTATCCCATACTCTTGAACTGTTTTTAAGTTATATTGCTCAGGTTTTACAATTTTAAATTGATTCTATAATTCTTTGGATTATCAGATTACATGAGTACTACCTTAGAAATGATCCAATTTTTTCCTTTGAAAAACATCTTTATACTTATTATAACATAATTGTACTTTTTTGTCTACAAGGATCCATAGATTTACTGAGTATAACATGGGTGGTGGGTGTACTTATCTATTTTCTATATGATATTGAAATCCAATTTGATTCCAAAAAATTGCTAATTTTTTCTATTTCAAAATATTAAGGGGTTACAAATATTTTTCTTATATGGATAGCTTTTGTAATGCTTGAGTCAGGGCTATTAGTGTGTCTATCACCCGAATAGTGTTCATTGTATCCATTAGGTAGGTTTTGACCCCTCTTCTTATCCTCTCTATCCCCTGCTTGATTTCCAATGACTTTTTACTTCCCTCTGTGTACATGTGTGCCCATTATTTAGTTCCAATTTATTAGAGAGTACATGTGGTGTTTGTTTTTCCATTCTTGAGATACTTCACTTAGAATAACAATCTCCAGCTCCATCCACATTGCTGCAAAAGACATTAATTCATCCTTTTTTATGGCTGAGTAGTACTTCATGGTATACATATACCACATTTGTTAATCCCCTCAGGAATTGATGGGCACTTAGGTTGATTCCAGATCTTTGCAGTTGTGAATTGTGCTGCAATAAACATTCAAGTGTAGGTGTCTTTTTGAAAAAATGACTTCTTTTCCTTTGGGTAGATTCCCAGTACTCAGATTGCTGGATTGAATGGTAAGTCTACATTTAGTTCTTTGAGAAATCTCCACACTGTTTTCCATAGAGGTTGTACTAATTTGCAGTCCTGCCAACAGTATGTGAGTGTTCTTTTCTCTGTTCTTCCAAGCCAGCATCTATTGCTTTTTTTGACTTTTTAATGAGTGCCATTCTGACAGGGGTAAAGTGATCTCTCATTGTGTTTTTAATTTGCATTTTCCTGGTAATTAGTGATGTTCAACCTTTTTTTTTATTTGTTGATCATTGGTCTATCTTATTTAGAAAAACTTCTGTTCCTGTCTTTTCCCACTTTTTTGTATTTCAGCATATTATGGGGGTACAAATGTTTAGGTTACATATATTGTCCTTGCACCTCACTCCCCCGCCTGGAGTCAGAGCTTCAAGCATGTCTATCCCCCAGACGGTGCGCATCGCACTCATTATGTATGTATATACCCATCCCCTCCTCCCCGATCCCATCTGCCCAACACCAGATGAATGTTATTCCTATATGTGCATCAGTTAAAACTATTTGATGGTGAGTGCATGTGGTGCTTATTTTTCCATTCTTGGGATACTTCACTTCGTAGAGTGGGTTCCAGCTTTATCTAGGATAATACAAGAGATGCTATATCACCATTGTTTTTGTGGGTGAGTAGAACTCCGTGGTATACATATACCACATTTTATTAATCCATTCATGTATTGATGGACACTTGGGTTGTTTCCACAGCTTTCAATTGTGAATTGTGCTGCTATAAACATTTCAGTACAGATGTCCTTTTTATAGAATGTCTTTTGTTCTTTTGGGTAGATGCCCAGTAATGGGATTGCTGGATCAAATGGTAGATCTACTTGTATCGCTTTGAGGTATCCCCATATTGCTTGCCTCAGAGGTTGAACTAGTTTTCAGTCCCACCAGCAATGTAGAAATGTTCCTATCTCTCCCCATCTACACCAACATTTATTGTTTTGGGACTTTTTGATAAAGGCCATTCTCACTGGGGATAAGTAATATCTCATTGTGGTTTTGATTTGAATTTTTCAGATGATTAGTGATGTTGAGTATTTTTTCATATGTTTGTTGGCCCATTATTCTGTCTTCTTTTGAAAAGTTTCTGTTCATGTCCTTTGCCCACTTTTTGATAGAGTTGTTTGATTTTTTCCTTGCTGATTTTTCTGATCTAAATAGATTGCAGTTATCAGCCCTTTATCAGATGTATAGCATGCAAATATTTTCTCTCATTCTGTAGGTTGTCTGTTTGCCCTCATGACAGTTTCTTTGGCTGTGCAGAAGCTTTTTAATTTGGTAAGGTCCCATTTATTTATTTTTGTTGTTGCTGTAATTGCCTTTGGGGTCTTCTTCATAAATTCTTTGCCTAGGCCAATGTCTAGAAGAGTATTTTTAACGTTTTCCTCTAGAATTCTTATAGTTTCATGCCTTAGGTTTAAGTCTGTTATCCACCGTGAGTTGATTTTTGTGAGAGGTGAAAGGTGCAGATCCTGTTTCATTCTTATACATGTGGCTATCCAGTTTTCCCAGCCCCATTTATTGAATAAGGATTCTTTTCCCCAGTGTATGTTTCTGTCTCCTTTGTCAAAGCTTAAATGGCTATATGAGGATGGTTTTATATCTGAGTTCTCATTTCTGTCCCGCTGGTCTATGTCCCTTTTCTTATGCCAGTAACATGCTGTTTTAGTTATTATAGCCTTGTAATATAGTTTGAAGTCTGGTAAATTGATGCCTCCTATTTTGTTTTTATTGCCTAGGATTGATTTTGCTATACGGGGTCTTCTCTGGTTCCATATGAAATGTAAAATTATTTGTTCTATATCTGTGAAAAATGATGATGGTATTTTAATAGGGATTACATTGCATCTGTAGATCACTTTGGGTAGTATAGACATTTTAATAATGTTGATTCTACCGACCCACAAGCATGGTATGGTCTTCTAGCTGTTTACATCCTCTGCTGTTTCCTTCCTCAGTGTTTCATAGTTCTCCCTGTAGAGGTCCTTTACTTCCTTAGTTAAATATATTCCTAGGTACTTTATTTCCTTTGTTGCTATTGTGAAGGGTATTGAGTCTTTGTTTTGGTTCTTAGTTTGACTGTTATTGGTATTTATTGGCATATATGAATGCCTCTGATTTCTGTGTATTTATTTTGTATCCTGAGACTTTACTGAATTTTTAAATCAATTTCAGGAGTCTCTTGGTTGAATCTTTGGGGTTTTCTAGATATAATACCATATCATCAGCAAAGAGTGAGAGTTTGATCTCTTCTGTCCCAATTTGGACACCCTTAATTCTCCTCTCTTGTCTAATTGCTCTAGCAAGGACTTTATCCAGCACTATGTTGAATAGAAGTGGAGATAGTGGGCAACCTTGTCTGGTTCCAGTTCTAAGTGGAAATGATTTCAATTTTTCCCCATTCAGTATGATGTTGGCTGTGAGTTTGTCATATATGGCTTGTATCATTTTTAGGTAAGCCCCATCTATGCTTATTTTGTTAAGCATTCTTATCATAAAAGGGTGTTGAATTTGTCTAATGTTTTTTCTGCATCTATTGGGAGAATTATATGGTCTTTGTTTTTGCTTCTATTTATGTGGTGAATTACATTTATAGATCTGGATATGTTGAACCATTTCTGGGATGAAGCCCACTTGGTCTTGATGGATTATTTTTGTGATAAGTACCTGGATTCAGTTTGATAGCATCTTGTTGAGAATTTTTGCATCTATATTCATGAGGAATATTGATCTGTAATGTTCTTTTTTTGTTGTGTCCTTTCTGGTTTGGGTATCAGGATGATATTGGCTTCATAAAATGTGTTGGGAAGGAGTCCATCCTTCTCAATGTTGTGGAATAATTTCTGCAGGATAGGCACCAGTTCTTCTTTGTACATCTGGTACAATTTGTGTGTGAAACCACTTTTGAAGGGGGTTATTTGTTTGTCACTTGCTGATTTGTTTGAGTTCTTTGTAGATTCTGTATATTAGCCATTTATCAGACATATGGTGTGCCAACATTTTCTCTCAATCTGTAGGTTGTCAGTTTTCTCTCTTGATTATTTGCTCGCTAGGCAGAAGTTTTTTTTAATTTAATCAAGTCCCATTTATTTATTTTGTTGTTGCTGTAATTGGAGTCTTAGTCATAAATTGTTTGCCTAGGCTGATACCTAGAAAAGTTTTTTCTACGTTTTCTTTTAGAATTTGTATGGTTTTGTGCCTTACATTTAAGTCTTTTATCCATCTTGAGTTAATTATTTTGAATGGTGAGAGAAAGGGGTCCTGTTTCATTCTTCTGTATGTGGCTGTCCAGTTTATCCAGCACCATTTATTGAATAGGGCTGCTTTTCCTCAATGTATGTTGTCTGATTTGTCAAAGCCAGTTGGCTGTAGGTAGATGGTTTTATATCTGGGTTCTCTGTTCTGTTCCATTAGTCTGTGTCTCTGGTTTTGTACCAATCTAATGCTGTTTTAGTTACTATAGCCTGGTGGTATAGTTTCAAGGCTAGTTATGTGATGCCTCCTGATTAATTCCTTTTGCTTAAGATTGCTTTGGCTATTTGGGCTCTTTTCTGGTTCCAAAGGAAGTGTAGAATTATTTTTTCTAGGTCTGTGAAATAGGACGTTGGTGTTTTGATGGGGATTGTATTGAATCTGTAAATCACTTTGGGCAGTGTGGACATTTTAACAATGTTGATTTTACAATCCATGAGCATGATAGGAATTTTCCATTTGTGTCATCTTTGATTTTTTTCCTCAGTGTTTCATCTTTGTGCTTGTAGAAATCTTCCACCTCCTTGGTTAAGTACATTCCTAGGTATTTTATTTTCTTTGTAGTTCTTGTGAATGTATTCAGATTTTTACTCTCAACCTGACTCTTATTGGTATATAGAAATGCTACCAATTTG